AACTCAAATTAAAATGTGTTGGTTTAGCTGTACCAACCAGTAAATATTTGTAGTAAATACAAAAAAAATGTATTTCAAAATATATTTATAACATGGTCATCTTGGGTTTTGTAAAAACAATTTAAAAATATTAAATATCAAATATGGATGTTTCAGGTGTTAGACATCTAGATAGATAAGAATACTTTTATATTATTTGTATTCTTATCTTTCTCGTAGGTATTTGACGTCTGGTTTTTGGTGGTGAATGCCGAATGTTGATGCTGTTGATGGAGTGATGGTGATTCCAACTTTCAATTCCCAAGTCCAAACAAATAGAGAACATGCAGTAATACGGTATTGCTATTGCACTAGTTGTAAGTTATGGAGTGTAGACTGATATACTTATATTAAACATACCTACAATATTATATTATTATATTCTGTATCTTTGTAGGAACTAATAAACACGGTATTCTCAACTCTTCATTYACACTAATACTCTTCAGTGTTTATATGATTTTTATCACTYTAAAGTCTGAATTTCTTAACTTGAATTGAAACTACTGAATTTTGGAGTAATTACTATTTCATACCAACATACAAATGGTGATTAATATTTGTTTTTTATTTAATGAATGTGGTAGTTCAGTAGCATATTATTATCATATATTATTTATTATAATTCATAATATTATTATTTATTYTTAGGGGAGTAGTTGATATTACTTAGATGGTGAAAATTGTCCAATTGTTTTGTGTCAGAATTAGAACATAATAAGAAAATGTGCGGCCGAACTGCTTGGTGAGTAGCTTATACCTTTATCATTTTTCTTTAAAAACGTGGAAAAATGATTCACATTACAGCATAAATATATTTACTTTTCATATTATGTAATAAATAAATGATTTTTCATTTATTTTATTTTCATCGTCATAAATGCTGGATGTTGACAGAAGACTAACATAACAATATTTTGATTTTTTTGACTAATAAGTTATGACACATTTTAATATAATGTGTCATAACTTATTACCGCAGTCTACCAGTTAGTGATCCCYACACTAAATTATAAGTATCTGTTTTGTGTTTTATTAGTAACTTGAGACGTGAAACTTATTGCAAAGCGACAAGCTATAAAAATCGTAAAGRAACATTGTATTGTCAACCGGAATGGCATGATGAAATGAATGGTAACATTGAATTTAAGCAGTCCAACAACATAGCGCCTACTGATGTAACACCTATTCTTGTTTCCGGCGAAGAATTTGTAGGCTACCCGTCCAGGATACTGACACCTATGGTATGGGGTATGATACCTCCCTGGCATAAGGTATTTTACTAGAAACATATTAAATTATATCTGTAATTAAAAAAAAAAAAACATAAGCATTGAGTAAATTGTATAATATAATTTACTCAATGATAATATAATATAATATTATATTATCATTAAAATAAGAAAAATTGTATCTAGTCATCTTATTTTTAATATTAAATTTAAAAATATTTTTAGGGAAACTTTAACAATCATGGATTGAGCACAAACAATTGTCGAATAGAAAATATAACCACTTCAAAACTGTACAGTGAACCTTTGACTAAAGGAAGGAGGTGTGTTGTAATTTGTGAAGGTTTCTATGAATGGAAAACTACAGAAGGGGCTGGAAAAAAAAAGCCTTACTTTATACACATGCCCCAAAAACATGGAGTTAGTAGTGAATTAAGTAATAACTTTTTTGTGATTAATCAACAGTAACAGTCAATCACTGAACAAATAATGAATTAAAAAAGTTATAACTAAGTATAAAATTGAAACATAAATCTCTAATTCTCCCTCTTTCTCTACTCTTTATATATTTACCTAATACAGAATTAATCATACTTTAGCCAAAATATTTTATTGGTTGGGGTTCAATAAATATTACCTAATTGTTTTTAGAATCAAATTAGATTTGTTTTTTTCATGGCCTACCCCTAATTATTCCATTAATATTTTATGATTTATTATATATGCCTGTTTTTGAAATACCCGGACCAGATACATCCTTGATTTGGTATAAATAAAAAATAAAGTTAAAAATATTTATCTTATAAGAAATATTTTTACGAAGGTTTCAGTATATGATACAAATGCTTGGGAATCGGCTTCATGGACAGAGCAATCTGGGTGGAATGGACCATCTCTACTTCAATTAGCTGGTATTTACAATAAATGGAAGTCACCCAATGGAGAAGTTTATAGTTATTCAGTTATCACTATGGAATCGAGTAAGACATTTTCTCAACTTCATCACAGAATTCCAGCAGTCTTAGAGAATGGACAACTTATAGAGGTTAATTTTGGTCTATGTAATTAAAATATACATTTTTAAACATTTATAATTTGTGATTTTTTGTTATACAATTTTAACTACCTAGGATTGGTTAGATACCAGAAGAGTATCTGCAAGTCAAGCCATCTCTATGCTTCGTCCAATTGATAATCTAATGTGGTATGAAGTGTCAAGTATAGTTAACAACTCTCGTAACAAAAGCGAAGATTGTAATAAACCAATATCAAAAATGTAAGTGAACATTTATTTTGACAATTTAATTATTTGTTTGATTTTAGTCTAAATGAATATTTATTAGTGAAGATTATTTTTATTTTAAGTTTTTAATCTATCAATATCAATTTATACTAATATTATAAAGCCGAAGAGTTAAAAAAAGTTTGAATTGCTGGTTCGAATTTTATAAATTATTTTATTGTTAGGTTTTCCATTTATCGACTATGGCTATAGGCTATAGAACATTTTTTGACAGTTCACAGGTTAAGTCAGGAGTCGGGATTTAAGAWTTTATAAAATATTTATGAACTAGCTATTAAAAAAGCCATAAAATTATTTCCGTGTATCAAAAATTCTATGATGCAGTGGCACTTCAGTAGGATCAATTTACTGAGTATCTCGAATTCAAACCAATTTCGATGGCCCAACATTTTTGAACCGTTTTTACATTTTTTGTTTTCTTTATACTTAATACTTTTATACTTATTTCAGTTGGTCTAGAATTCGTCACATCTCTGGAAAAGTTTAATATATAATAGTTCATTGGGTCAGCTTTAAATAATAAAATAATATTTTATCCGTTAAAAACTATGCGTAAAATTCCGTGAGAAATTAATTTTGATGTGGGTATACCAATGATATGATAAATATATTTTTGTTTATCATAGGGTTGCTATTGGTTATACAACATATTATGAATGAAAAAAATATTAGCAATTTATTATTAGGTACAAATTTTAAAAATTGTTTCACCTTTGCAAAGCTTAAAATTCGAGAAAATATTATGATTGAGTATAATTATAGTCCTGTAAGATTAAGATAGTGWAAAATTCACAGGAATTTTTCACGAAAAGTTTTGAATATGACTAGCCAGATATTAAATGACGAATTAAACACAAAATATGAATCATATAGAGTTGGTATTTTTAATAAGCAACAAAATGCACGGGGATCAGCTAGTATTATTATAAAATAGAATTATTGAACATAATAATTTTAAAAATACAAGGGTTAAATAGTAGTATAAAATATATACTTATACAATATTGAATATAGGCTAAGGATTTGTTCTAAAGCACTAGCCTCACTTGTCTGGTTATTGCGGCCAACTACCATTCTTATTTTGAAAAGAATATAGTCTAATTACAGCACAGCGAATTGAAGACAATAATTTGGGTGTTCATATTATAATTTAAAATACATTTGTTACAATAATTTATATTATTATTATAATCAATTAACTATTTTAAGTTAACTTGTTTATTTTAAGATTTTCAATTGAAAAGCAGTTTTAAATGTATTGTTTATTTACAGAATTAACAAAAGCAGCACTTTTATGACGTCTTGGTTAGCAGGAAAAAATAAAAAAAGTGATAGTAATGATGAAGATCAAATGAGGAAAAAACAAAAAAAATAATATTCAGTATTRTAAAATTTCAATTGAATAATATATTTATAAGAATAATATTTTCAAAATAAAAGATTTTATATTTAATACATATTTTAAAGAATTTTAAATGAGCACGGAGCATACTTCATAATTTTCATAATAATTAGGTACATTTCTATTACCCAATTATAACTAATTTAATTAATGACTAATGATCATGTAATAGTTTATAAAAGCTCGAGAAATCAATAGTTATATTTTAGTTTTCGCCATACAACCAAGAGTCACTGGACCTTGACCATGATACTACTTCATTCTCTGAAAACCACAAAGCAATTTCTTTGTTGGCTGATTCTACAGCATCCGAACCATGAATTATGTTGCTAAAGTAATTTTAACCATTATAAAATAATTATTAAAAATATCAAAATTTTTTATAGGTTATAGAAGTATTTACCGGCCGACTTGAACACATAGATCCCCCCTAATTGTACCAGGGTTTGAATTTTTTGGGTCAGTTGCACCAAGAATGAAACGTCCAGTTTTTACAACATCCAATCCTTCCCATACCTATAATACATAACATAATTATTACGAATTTTAACCATATAAATTATAAACAGTATAGTGCTTAATAACCATTGGTACTACTGGTCCAGAAGCCATGTATTTGACAAGACCGGGAAAAAATGGCCTGCTTGATAAATCAGCATAGTGTTTTGATAACAATTCTTCAGATGCCTAAAATAAATAATATTAGGGTTAATAAGTAACTTGATTTTAAACTTTAAATACATTTTTTTAAACTTAATATAATATGTTACATGATACATATTTATTATTTTTCAAAAGAAAACGTAAGAAATTAACATAATAAACATTAAAAAATGTTAAGCAATTTAAAAGTTATTTTTAACTACCTCAATAGGTACTATTATTAATTAAATTTTTTTATATTCTTCATAAAAACTAAGTTTATTTAGTATTGCCAAGAAACAAATAATGTATGTAACATTATTTTWAAAAAAAATTGWATTTGTTGGGATTCTAATGTTCTACTTAAAAAATACATGTATAAATAGATATAAAAAATATGAATAAGAATGTTCCAAATAGTGCTATCTGACAAGTTTAAGTTATGCTAATCTATTGTTGTTTTTAGCAGTTCCCTGTATCATTGTATCAATATATCATTGGCCTGTATCATTTTTAACCTTCTGGGTACATTTAAATTGTTGTGCTATTTTTTTAGTTTAGTTATAGGACTGAAGGCCCCCATCCCCCAGTCTTGGGGGAAAACCCCAACTAAAATTTTGCATTCATTACTCATAATATTTACAATTAAATTAACCTAACTCACAAGTTTGAACTTGATAAAATTATTACTGAAACCTAACTTTTATTAATTAATCCAAGCTAACACTAAAAGTGACAAATACCAWTACATTTTATGTACATGGGTAAAAGTAGTATTTGTTTTTTATTTAGTTTCATGTCTACTTTTAGGCATATAATATTTTTTGAAAATAATAAATGCTGTTATTGAAGGTTCTTAACTAGGAGTACTTGCCCACATAAACTTCATTGCGACTAATTTGAATCCTTTTTCTTCAAAGCGCTTAATTATCTTGCCGACCAGGCCGCGTTGAACACCATCAGGCTTGACCATGATGAATGTACGTTCTGAATAAGGGTCACCGCTCATTTTTGTGTTAATTCACTTAACACAAACACAATCTATATGAACAATTWAAAAAYATAAATGATCATGTACCTTATTATCTTATCTTTGTACTTAAATAAACTTTTAATACTGAGAAAATTAAATAGGAAGTCACAAAATTGAAAAATTTGATACCATTGTGTATTTTATAAGGTATTGTCTATTATTATTATTATTATCATTATTATCATAACACAAGGCGTTGGCTGTCTCAAGTCTTAAACAATACAATGTCATTGTTTTTACAATATCTGGATTAGGGAAGTATGTAAAATTTATATTTTAGGTATRTGATGTCGTTAAATGTTTTAACTTATACATACCTAAGTTATTATCGAGGTTATTACGTACTACTAAYTTGTTTGTTACTAAGGTACAAGTTTTTTTTTAAATTTATTATTAGTTTTCAAAATTTAGACAAGASAGTAAGTGGACAGTGGACCACTAATTTTGCATAGTAACTAGACAGATTAGTGAGTAAGTAATTTTCACATTTCTGTCAAAAGTGAAAGAAAATAATGTTTAGTAAGTTTAGTTTGAATTTTGAAATTGAAATCTAAAGAACTTTAAAGGTACCAAMGATAAAGAAATACAGATGTCCWAATTCATACATAAAAACGAACATTGTCTTAATTTGATATTTTATGTAACTTATCGTCTCTAATACTGAAGTCTGTAAACAGTATTATTGTTTATTTTAATGAGGACTCGCAATCCGCAAAGGTTTGAAATAATATACAATTATTGAGAATTTGAGAGCTAGTACTCACCGAAAAAACGAATATCGTCAATAAAACGTCGGGCGATCGACAAGCGAACAGTGTCGACGAAACAGCGTGTACGTCAGCGGATAATGACTACAGAGAACTGAAGTCGACTGAAATCGAACTATCGAAGTGCCGAACCGCCGAATAGCTTACTACTGTTACTACTCTACTAGTGAGTGTGAGTGTGTGTGAGTATCGTACCTAACCAATGACGCAATTGACGCGTGACGGCGTAACGCCGAAACGACAAAGCACTCCAACGGTAAACACGCTAACTAATACTCACTTATAAAAAATAGTCGGACAGTCGGCGGTAGCAATGTAGCATACGCGGAGAAAAACAATAAGCACATTAATGTCGGCAGTAAAGTTGTAGTCGCGGTGAAAACGCAAAACTGTGTGTTCACTGTTCATCTTATATTGTGTACTTTTGTCAAAGTCTTTGTGAGCGAATAATACCGGCCATCGACGAGACGACGCCAATGACAAATTGTGATATATAAATATGATAAAAAAATATATATATATATATTTGTCACGACGGCGCCAACAATAAGTTGTAAGTACATCAAAAGATATATTTATAGAATATTATGGCCTCGGATTAAATAGAGTGGGAGACGTATAAAGACAATCGACAAAATTGAAATTCTCTTATCAAAGAGCAATAAGAGCCGAGGAAGATATTAATGTTATAAAATTATTAAACATTRGTTATTTATAATTAGTTGTTTAGTTCGCGATTTTATTATGATTAACTAATTTAATTTATCATGGATTTTTATAACTTAACTACTTAGGTCTTAAATATATATTATTGCCTTTAAACTTATTCAACTGTTATCAAAATTATGTAACAAGTATTTTATCAAGTACCAATAATTATCCATGTGAATATTACATTTAATTTATAATTAAATCTATTGGCTAATATATATATGAAAAAAAAATTGCCAAATAGGCACTGGATCACAACTTAATTTTATATGATACGAGTTATGATAATTTGTAAAAAAAATAACTAAAACCATTACTTATATAAGATCAACTTGTTTTTATTGACACTTTACAGACTTACAAAATGAATATTACAAGTATACGTGTAAGTATACAATGTACACAAACACACATAGGTTTATAAATCACAAACATGCCTATCAAACAGACTCATTAAAAGATTAACATTATAGTAAAAAAAAAAATTGTAAAATTAATAGCTACCGCACAGTAATTCATTTTTCTAATATTCATAGTGAAAAATACATTTAATAAATGGCACTTACTATTATTAGGTAAATTTATAAAAACTAAAACAAAATAGTATCTTTATTCTAAACACAAGTAGATATTAAGTTCAAACTTGTTAAAATTCATACTCAGTATGTGTGTACTGTGTAGCCAATGGCAAGTATTGTTTTTGTATGTGTAATCCAACAAATACAACTATAAATTATGATGATACATGGAAAATTAAGAGATCTAAAAAAAAAATTATACAATCAAGGTTTAAATTAATATTATATAAGTACAACAGGTCAGTTTAAAATCTCCATGTATCCACCTATTAATAGGTACCTAAAATCTGAATAGGTCACACATCATAAACTAATGGATAGCTGGTAATTATGTATGCATATTCATATACATAATATGTTCGGTAAGAGTCTATCTTAAAATAAAACAAAAATATTGCCGTAGTTAATAGTAATTACAATGAAAAAATATATAGTTTATTGTTTTTTAAGCCTAAMATTTATGCAAATAATACAGTAAATATAACTAAATGTTTTGAATAATTTCAAGAAAACCCTATTTACATTAATAAAATAAATATCACAGCCTTTAAAAAAATATTTTTAAATATATATTTGTTTGCCCACAGATATCTTAAAGGCAATCGGTTTTCATTTTGGTGTAAATATGATTTGATTCTTTTTAAGTACATTAACTCAGAGGAAAACGGTTCCATTGTTTGATCCGTTTTGCTACATTGTATTATGGGCAAACTACATAGTCATATTACACAATAAAATTGTTGTATACGCTAACAATAACAAGAACCTTACAATTAGTATAAAATATTTCTTTACAGTTATCAAACGATAATGATAATAAAAATAATAATATAATGTACAGTCGGGATAGAAAATGGCACAGCGTCATACAAACATAAATATATAATAGTTTTAAAAATAAAAATATAAATAAAACAATATTATTATATGCATATCGTATAATAATATATCGAATAAACTTGTAAAAAACTTGTCGTTTCATGCGTCATCTCATAATAATTTCTTAATAATTCTTAAAAACGAGTCAACAGAACAAAACTTAAACTTCTACAAAATGGTTCGACGCCACCAGGTGCGTACCCGGTTTGGTAGCCGGTMGTCAAACGGTTGTTTCGTTTCGTCTAAGCGGTTGGAGCTCTCTTTGCAGACGATCAAAGTCGTTGTAGTACTCATGGTCCGACTCATCCTCCAGACTTCGGCCGTTGGAGGTAGGCGCAGGTGACTGCGGTTCGCAGGACGCCTCTGCAACAGAACCGCTACCGTCACCGGAGATTGTRGATGGTGTCACGGCGGAAGGTTCGCCACCGGTCAAATGGTACTCCGGGTTGTCCACGCTGCTCACTTGGACTGGCAAGAAGTCTGGTTGGTAGTTTTTGGTCAGACCAGGAGGCCTTGGGAGGCTACCGTTGGCGTATTCCACTGCAACGCAAACGTAATAATATTTATTATAAGGAAAGAATCACAATGTAGATAGCAAGAGAGGGAATTTATTATTGATGCGATAAAAGATTTTATTGTTGGGAGCAGAGTTTATACTTCGTAAGATTTCGGAGAGCCGAATAATTTCTAGCTTTAAAGTGGTTCAACGGTTAGGTTATTTTTGAATGCTACTTTGGTTAATAATGTAGGTTAACTATACCTAATAATACATATCTACCATAAATTCTTTTTTCAATTCGACGTCTTCTGATTTTATCATTTACAAAATGAGATATTAATAATTAAGATGACTTACCTTCAGCGTGTTGATGACCAATCAAATCGATATAATTGGCAGGCGCGTGCCGTCGTTTGTTGTCGATTTCGTCGTTGGCTGGAGACGGCATTAGGTAATCGTCCTCGTCCAATGGCAAGTCTAATTTCAACGTGCCCACTTGCGCCTTGCTTCCATTGCTGAGATCTTCGGAAGTATCGCAATCTACCAAGAAAAGTAATTTAAGGTAAATATAACTTTTTTTATAAGTACTGTTTGTATGTTATTGTGGGCGAAGCGACTATCACCTGTTATCATTATGAATTATTAAAACAATTTTTTACCTAATCGATGTATGTCACCGAATTTTCTGAGCTCTCGATCCCAGTTGTGTCTACCATGCATAGATCCTAACATGTCAGCACCCGCCGTGCTACTCGATCCAAGCCTCGACGGTCCCGGCATTCCCATTTTTGGGTTCATGCAGTACTCATCAGATTCCATGATACTCATATCTGCACCTTCAGTCGCCAGGTTTGATAATATCTCGTTTTCGTCCTACGCGATAAATAATAAATAACCGAACCGTAAAAAAGTGAATCAACGGTCAAAATCTCAAATAATTATCGACAACTTACCTGCGACGAGTACGACGGCAACCTCATGTAACGGTCACCTGGTATGACCAGGTATCTACCCGGATCGATTGCCATTTTGGCGAATTCATCGGCAAGTTCCTCAAAACTAGGACGGCTATCTTTTTCGATTAACCAACATTTTACCATCACCATGTACACATCAATGGTGCAAATTGGTGGTTGCGGCAATCGTTCACCTTTTTCTAGCAGACCCAAAACTTCTTTTTTGTCCACGCTTTCATACGGTTGTTTACCGTACGTCAACAATTCCCATACGGTAATACCTGTAAAAAAAAAAAAAATATGAAAAATTGTTGATTTACTACGGGTATGTGGTTGTACTTGTACAACGTGACGACGAAAGTAAACTTACCAAACGCCCAGACATCGCTCTTGTGAGTGAACACCCTGTACTTAAGACATTCTGGGGCTAGCCATTTGACCGGCATCTTTCCACCGTCAGCAGTGTACTCCAGTTGGTCAATTTCCAACAGTTTAGCCAAACCAAAATCGGTGATCTTCACGCAGTTGGTGTTCTGCACGAGGACGTTTCGGGCTGCCAAGTCTCTATGCACTAGTCGCTTTTCTTCCAAATAAGCCATACCTGCATGAAATCGTTTGAATTTAGAACATCCATTGATCACTCTGCATTTATTTTTAAAATCTCTTACCTTTGGCTATTTGCGTGCACCATTTTAGGAACGTTTTGGAACCAATCTTGTCRTTGTTGTTTCGCACGTACTTCAATAGACACCCGAGTGGCATGAGTTGGGTGACCAACATCATCTCGGACGTCATACATACGGCCAACAATTTTACTAGATTGTCGTGTTCAACACTAGCCATTATATAAGCTTCATCTAAGAATTCTTTGCTAGTATTTTCGTAACCACACGTGTCGTCTTTTTTGTGTAGCTTTTTGATTGCTACTGGTATTTTAATGTTCTCGCCTTCAACAACCCAAACGCCCTATAAACGCATGATATTATTATTATTTATCCAATTCAAATTATTTAAAATCATTCAATACTAGACTGAATATTAAATTTTGAGTAATACCTTGTAAACAACTCCAAAAGCTCCATTTCCAAGTTCAGCGCCTATTCTCAGGTCTACTTCTTTGACGATCCTTAGTTTAGCCGTGTTGGGTTTGACRTTCGAAGGCCTTAGTGGTTCGTTATCTTCCATACCTGTTAGTACCATTGTCATTTTTACTGCTGTCTCTTTGGCTCGTGCACGTCTTCGCCAGTGCCATACAAGAATCATGAGTAAAACCATCACCAAAAACGTGAAAACTACAACCGCGCTCAGTATCAATGGTATTTGCTCCGAATCACTACTAAAATCAAACAAAAATAATGTCACGAATGGTTAGAAATTGAATATCAGAGAAGTCAAAATATTACGACGAACTTACAGTTTAGAAGCCATTCTGACGTCATCTGCGGAACAATATGGGTCTGGGTCGTCCTTAGTGTACACCTTGTATGGRGCAAAAGACGGGCAGATAGGACCAGAGCAGTTGAACGCCGTACGGTTATCCGAAGGGTTGCCGCTGAGCTAGAACGTTAAAATAGAATGTACCGTTTAGGTTTCCTAAGGATTTCACTATTTAACTACTCTATTAAGACTCGTTTTTTTGTGGTACTTACCTCGAATATTTTGAAATGCCTACACGCCTGGCATTGAGATGCGTGTGGTCCGTAACATCCTCTACATAGAATGTCACATGGCATACATTCACGCTCTATTTCTCCATTCGGTAACTTGTTGGTTGTGGCATAGTACTCGATTGGACAATCATCTGCACAGTGATCACCACGTTTGTAGCCCGCGCAACGTTGGCAGACTTGATCGTGGAATCCGAAACCTGTGCACCTCAGACACCGCGGATGACATTTTCTGCATACAGCTTTGCCGGCTAATGCACGTAGAGCAGCACCACCTTGCTCCAACGGTCCAACCCATTCGTAATAGTAACCATTTGGACAAGTTTCATTTTTGTGTAAACATCTCTCCTATAAAAAAATATATACACATTACACATATATTATTTAAGTTGTACGAAGGAAAAACATTAAGACAGACTGTTAGATTTTCTTATAAAACAACAAAAAGTAAATTAATAAGAGACAAATACTTACRACTGAAGCATCGGCATTCAAAACAGCTTTGTGACAAGATCGGCACCCATTAGGTCCAATTGTGTTGTCCGGACCACTACAACCTCCAACACAGTTCAAATGACATGGTAAACATTCACTGGGTCTGGATTGGTTAGCACTGTATTTATTCACTGGACATTGAGATACACAGTGAATACCGTCGAGAAGATTGCGGCATGATGTACAGTGTTCGGGGCCGGGCCCGTGACAACCACCGTCACATTCCGGATGACATGCCGCGCAAGTCTTATCACCAGCTTCGTATAGCCTGCATAGTAAATAACAACGAGAATAGTAAAAATCAAAAACTCACATTCATAACCTTAAATGTTTTACTTACCCAGGTACATGACTACAATTAGGTAAACATTGATTTTCGTACTGAAAGTTTCTACAAGACAAACACTGATGAGGTCCAGGAYCCCAGCAACCTTGTTTTGAACACTCCGGATCGCATATTTCATTCTCTAAAACTATATAAATACACCATGAAAACCTTAGATAAGTGTTTAATAATTATAAATAATGACTTACTGCAAAGAGATTCATTTTTGTTATTTTGCAAAAGCTTTGGATGTTCCGATGATTTTTTTATGGACTCCCAGTCAATAGTTTGGGCGTAACAAAGTCTTTTATTTTCTAGTATTGCAACACTCCCAGAATGGATTTTCTTTAGCGAACGCAAACCCAATGAAGTCAACGAAGTCTTAACAATATACAATGATGCAAAGTATTCGGTAACAGTGCGACCACCGATAACTTCCAAATTCCTGTTGAAGTAAAATATAATTAATTTAAACAATAGGTATATTATTGCTATTGTAATTTTATAAGACTTACCTAAAGTATGACAGGTTTTTAAAATCTTCATGGGATCCTTGTATGTTTATGTAMCCTGTCACTTCTTTCAACGTGCTAAACACTTCCAAACGGTCAGGATGCATAGCTTTGATACGTTGGCCGAAACTGAAGTTAGCAAAAACTTGTTGGAAACCTTTGAATGTTTGGTCTAAGATAGTTAATGAACCCTCGATTACGGTGCAGTCTTTAAAACCATCAATGTTGCTATCATGTATCGTAGTTACACCTTCACAAGTTTTCGGACATGGGCCGTCACACAATACACATTCGCCATTTACAGCCTAAAACAAGTTTTAATTTAGAAAAATATATTTAAATTAAATTAAGCATAATTATTATTACCTTTTTCTTTGGTGGACAACTTCGTACACACGCCCCATTGTCTTTGAGCAAATGTTCCGGGCAGTTTTTCACGCAAGTCGCACCATAAGCATACTTTCCATTTGGATTTGTTTCCCAGGAGTATGTTATGGAATTATACCGTTGCATCGCCGGACATTCTTGAGTGCATACACCGTCATCGTAAAAATTTCGACAAGCCTTTAAAATTATAAATATAATTATTATTTTTAATTTAAGACATATTATCAAGATTGAGTTATAATGAACATATTATATTGTAATATACTTACGAGGCAATCACTTTGCTTTGGTCCCGTACAACCACCAGCACAAAACAAATGACAGCAGTCTCTTGGCTTTGGTCCAAAACAACGGCCCTGATAACATTGGGGACTACAGTTGATCTTTGAGAACTTTTGGCAATTGTGTGGACCTTCACCCCAACAGCCACCCGTACACGACTTGTCACAAGGTGGACATTCCCGTTCAGAGTTCGAGAAATTATACATGTACATCCACTTGGCCCCCGGTCCGGTGATGATCTCATCCCAGTTAATGGTGCGCATATGGCACAGATTATAGTTATCKATCATGCCCACATTGCCAGCTAATATATCTGAATAAATGTATGGTATGAGTAATGAATATTAAAAATTACATACATTCAAGAATAATAGAAATGCTTACCTCTTAGAGCTGGCAATTCGAGATTGTTCATTTTTGATAACATGACCAGTAACGAAAACTCTTCTTCCTTGACGGCYAATTTGAATTGAGTTCGGCCTCGAATGATTTGCARCCGAGGTAACACGATTTTGTTGACGTCCACATGAGTAATCAAAACGTATCCGGTAACTTCTCGTATGTGTTGTAAGAAACTCAGATCCAAGTGTTCGTCCTGCAACCATGTCAGTTCCAGGTTGCCATCCACATAGGTGCAATTGGTGTAACGGTCCCTGAGGTTTCGGTAATGATGATCCCGATTCGACGGCACAGAAAGACGACCGTTGGTACCAATGCATACTGCAAGATAAAAATAAAATCGAAATTTAATAACWTGTAAAAATTATTTTAAATTCTAAGGGTTGATATAAAATACATTATGCATGATGTATACAACCGTCACACACAGAACAGTGTGTTTAGTAGCCAGTAGGTATAAAAGTATTTAAAATATATAGTAAAAAATTATAGTTTGTCATATTATTACATAATACTTTCACTGGAATTATGTTGTTTTTTATGAATTCCATCGCGGAAACTCCTTTCGATCGGGAAATACCATTAACCTTTTCAATATTTTCTTATACGCCACGCTCACCAGTCCACCCAATATATACATACACGTCATATACTCCCATAATAATTGTGTTAATCCTCATCCAATGGTATGTGTGACCGCGACGGTTTTGAGTACCAACCAAACAACAACAAATAACAATGATGATGACGATGATGTTGTGGACGACGCTAGTCATTCTCACGTTATTGTTATGTTCAAGCATTGTTGTCGTCATCGTCGATGGTAATATTAATAATAGTAACAATAATGAAATAATATTGTGTGTATTTGTAAAGCAATACGAAGTAATAAACGGGCGTTGTGTTATCAAAATTTTAATTAAAATTCAATGCACTGCAGGCGCCAAAAGGCAGTTTATTTTGTCCTACTCTGCTTCTCCGTCCACTTAAAACCGAATTCCAAAGCGCACAATACAAAGTTTTGACAGAAACAGTTAATTAAAAACTGTCTTGTTCCCCTAGGGTATTATTGACTATTGATCGATATACGTATGTATATTGATCTTGTGCTTTTTTACCATCTATTGCGGGCTTGTTAATTGCGGAAATACCACAAAAGTCTCAACGGTTGGGCGAAGATGACCGACCCGATAGAAATGAGAAGACATTGTAATATATAGAGAGGAGGARTATATAACAACAGGTACATCTATACAGTTCGATATCAATACGCATCTAGTCCAATAAAATGTCAATCTGATTGTTTAGTAATTTTCTTATATTCCATACCTTTTGCAGCTAATAACAATAAAGAAGAATTTTCATTGTCGAGTTTACAATTAAAAAAATATGTAATACAATACACTAAATACAAAGAAATGTATCGTTCTTATTTATTTATATTGTTGCAGTACACACTTTTAAGATTCTACTCATTTGTATTACGAATAAATGCAAGCCAATTAACTTGGAAATATATGCTGATAGGTATCCGTGTAGACTGTTGTAACCAACAACACGTGTAGTAGAAACTATTAACATTATATTACTATCGAACGTTTCTGATATTATCATAAAATATGTCTACGGTGCTTAAATGCTAACTGAGCTCGATTTGTATTAACCTATAGCGATTCGCACGAAAAGGTTTTTAATTGAGTCTGATTTGAGAAACCAGTCGTGAGTTCTTTGCCGTTGTAATTTACGGTTCAATGTGGCTTTTATCGGTCTACTAAATTTTAAAAGAATTTGCAAGTAATTGAAAATACCGGTTTTGATTTCATGTTATTTTACGTTCGTTGGAGTATAGCTTTATCCACAAAATTCATCATATAGCAGATTATTATTGCTTTATAGCGAGAAAATAACTGGTTTCAAGATTTAAATCGGATACCTTCAATTTTTGAAAACACTAAAGTCACTACCTATATATTTTTATTATTATTATATTAAAAACTATTTTCTCCTCTCCCTTTACATCGATTAATCACATAGGTATTAGTCGGTATTATCGTCATCATTTAACATTATTTTATCCACTAGTCTCTATGCAACGTCCAATTTATATTATTTATAAATATTATTAAGTCTTAGGGGAAATATAATATGTATATAGGTATCTACTTAACAAGTTGTCAAAATTGTTATTAATAAGAATGAATAATTTTTTGATATAACGTATAATCCGCAAGGGGTCTAAGATATTTTTCCCCGGCATACAGATTTAAAATTACTTTGGTGTCCTGCGGTGAGGGATCCCACAAAAATGCAATTGACGAACGTCCACGTCTCGTCTGTATCATTACAATAATCAAGACGCAAAGAAATAAAACCGTTAAAAATATAGTTTTTATTATGTGCAAAACACGGATGAATACATAAAAGAATAAAAGATATAATAATTTTGTCAGGGAATCTTTTTTTTTATATTATGTTACCGAGACTTTAATAAYATTACGAGCGCAAGTCAAATTCTAGTAAATTCCATTTTGAACACTTTCTCTGTTTTCGTGACGGATGTCTGAAAATATGTCTAAGTCATAATTTAGAAATAGAAAATCTCAAATCAATTTTTCAGTAGGTATATTTAATATTCGATTTACTTATTGTTATTTGAAATTAGTTGTAGTCTTTTCACTTGATGACACTTAAATTGTTAGTCTTGGAAAAAAAATGGGAACCGTATATAACTATGAGTATATAGTAATAGTACGCATATAAAATACCAAAGAAAAGAATTTACATACTACTTTAAAACCAACGGACAAAAAAGTGATAATTCAATTAGGAATTGTGTTTATTTTATAATTTTATGGCAACATTTCATCACCAAACAAATAATTTGTAACACCTGAAATGAAGTGTTAAATCATTGAAAAAGAATTTAAAAAACAATTATATTACCAACTTAGTTATAGTATACTCGCTAAAGAGTTTTAAATATTTACAAATATTTGAATATATAATGAAGTAGATAGTTAGGTAATATACCTATTTATTATACTGTATATTACATCCAAGTATTAGACATAGCATGCATTTTTATTTCTCAAACAAGTGTAATGTCTATATGATATGTTTTTAACTATATTCGAGTGACATGGTAAACATTTTCATTGTAGGTAGTAGATTTGTACGAAGCTATGATGACTACGAAATTGTTGCTTAAATTAAGTATAAAACACCAACCGTATAGTTTTTTTACAACTGTTTGTGCGTCAATTTTTTAACGACGTGTCTTAGAGTCTTTCATTCGGGATTTCACAAAACGATACGATACAAMATTTAGAATCGTCGTGTGTTTAGTCATGAATTTGTCAGTTTTATCATTTTATACCCATCATACAATTTAACACATATTTTTAGATCACTTGAATTTTAAAATATCGTTGTTTTACAGGGTTGGTTAACAAGTTCACTGTCATGCTAAAAATATCATTTTTTTTTATTATTGCTTTGTGCGGTAGTTTACTCAAAAATATACAGTTACATCAGGCTGTGTGCGGATAGTATTCAAAACTATATTATAAGTTAAATTGATTTATAAACCCAGCAGGGTTATGAAAATCGTCAAAATAAACTGATTCGTATGGAGACATGTTTAGACAATTAGTATTGGTCTCCTTGGATATCTACTAAGGGCCATTCTTACAATGCTCGGTTAGTGCCTGATTACACTAACCGGAAGAATTTATCATGAGTTAACCGATAGAATTCTACCGGTTAGTCTTAACCGACACTTAACCGGACATTGTAAGAACGGCCTTAAGTGAGATAATAGAATGTGTTTGACTTTTTTGAAATTAATTTCTAAAAGATTAAGTTTGAGCCGTTTGAGAATAAACAATAAATGGAAAATTTCAATTAAAACGATAGGTAAGCGTAAGCGATGAGTAATAGGTCCTTTATGTGAAATCAACCTATTAAAAAAAATCATTCACTTCGCTTTCGTCCAGATTTAAACGAAGAACCATACTTAAAAAACATTATATTAATAATAATATAATGCTATAACAGTAAGTACCTACATATTATAATACTCGGCCTGTTCTCGGAAACATATATAGTTTACCGTCATCGCACATTTACGATTGCACGTATACTTATATTATACAATATTGTGTTTTTTTCATTATAGAATCTATAAAGAAAGATTCAAAATATTATTTAATTTTAATAGTTTTAGTTCATATACTTATATTATACAATATTATCAACGTGTAATAGGCATGTAAAAATATATGCATTGATAAAAAATATACATTATAATCTTATATAATATTGTGCGGTACACATAGGTAAAACGCAGATTCGAACCAATGCCATCTCTCAACTACTCTCAACGTGACTGTTGACAAAAATGCGCGGGTCGATCAAGGCCAACAGTAATTATGATATTTTTACACATAAATACACGATTATTTCGTGAATATATACCATCACCGAATTGGCTTACCAAAAAATACACGAAATTTGTATAGGTACTTTGTTCAAAACACGTATGATAAAAGAGATTTGGAAACGAGTGCGAGTGCAGAACGCGATATGCGACCGGTGTATTGCACTGATCGGGTCTTAGCAGCAGCTGTATGCTGCGGGTCGAGGGGTGGTTGTGAGCGATCCGCCGGTCGCGATAACGATCGTTTTCGGCCTCAAGAACCGCAGTTTCGTCCGTCTCCACGCTTGCAGTCCGTCCGACCGGTTTTTATCAGTCATTACAGCGACGACGAATAATTATAAATTATAATATTTGGTATAATGTTTTTATATTATTTTTATACATTATATCTGATAAGGTATAATAATATTTTAGTCCGACGAGAAACAACAACGCGTTTACAGGATAAAAATATAATATAATATTATTAAACCTACTGCACATTATATATCCATACGCACACGACTTGATCACACGCGAGTCTGTACCACCGGGCTGTATCATGTTATCCCTACCTGTACGCAACACGACGAGAGAAATAATATAAGACATAAAAATATAATACACTAGAACCACCTGCAGCACACACGCGGCGGTGAGCCCCGACCAAGCCGGGGGCCACCGGTGCACACACACACACACACACACATAAGCACAATACAACACGCGGGCGCACAGACTTAAAACCGGCCGTCGCCGAGTACAATAATAATAATATTAATAATAATAATGCGTACGATATGTGGTACATGGTATTCGGTACGCTTCGAGTGGATAGGTATGTGCCCAGTCATCGTCCCCGGAGGCTTTGTGTATAATAATTATACATATATATGTGTGTGTG